ATATCTGTCACAGCAGAATAAAGTGCATGAGATGCATGCTCCTTAACAAAGTGTGTCAGGAAAAGACCATTTTCACACTCACTCCTGTCCTTGGGCTAATTGTTTCTCTGAAAGTACAGAAGTCCATCAAATGGTTATTTCTAAATCATGTTTCACAGAGTGCATCCTACAGTGAATCAGCTGGGAATCTAGTTCTGTGAATCTTGGCGTATCAACAATTGACATCAAAGACTGTAGTCTATGCACTACACATTGCTCAACCATATTCACGATTTTATATCATGGCAGTGGACCTTTTTCTTCAATGCCTTCGTGATTGATTTCACTAGGTAGTCTTTTTTGAAATACGGATAGAATATGATGGGGGAGGGGGGTTCTTAAAACAACAGAAATTTATTCTCCTACAGTTCTGGAGACCAGAAGTTTGAAATCAAGGTATTGGTAGAGCCATGCTCCCTGCAAAGGTGGTAGGAAAAGAGTGAGGGGTGAGGGGATAACATTCTAAGGGAAAATAAGGATGGGGTAAATTTTCTGTTAATGAAATAAGTTAACATTTAGACAAGAAGACAAAATCAAGCACACATCTGGACCCAGCTTAGTGATGTAGGGCCAAGGCCCTTTGCCCCCTGAAAGTTTGAAAGCACCGACAAGGAGGCGAATGGAAAAGGAATACAAATTTATTTCCCATCTACACGGAGCCTTCAGAATGAAGACCCAAAGATACAGGGGAAATTGTCCTTTTTATGCTTAGATTCAACAAAGTATGAACAGCAATGTAGAAATAGGATTGGACAGGCCGGGCTCAGTGGATCAGCCTGTAATCCCAGCACTTTGGGAGACTGAGGAGAGTGGATTGCCTGAGCCCATGGGTTCGAGACCAGCCCGGGGGCAACCTGGCAAGACCTCATCTCTACAATAAATAAAAAATCAGCTGGGCGTGGTAGCACACACCTGTAGTTCTGGCTACTTGGAAGGCTGAGGTGGAAGGACTGCCAGAGCCTACAAGTCAACACTGGGGTGGCTGTGAGTGTGCCACTGCACTCCAGATGTGAGTGCAGGGTGATGGAGTGAGACTACAGTTTAAAAAAAAAAAAAAAGAAATAGGATGGGACAAAAACGTACAATTTATTGCTTATTGCTAATAGACTGAGGAAACCCAGCAAGGTCTGTCTGCCTAGATTCCTTTTGGCCTCTCTGGGCATGGATTTCTTCCTTCTAGATGTGGGTCAGGATCCTTTTTGGAGTGGGGGTCTTATGACCAACAGTCAAACAACAGAGGTCAGATAATTTCCTTATGGCCAGTTTTCACAGAGAGGCAGAGGCAAAGTTAGAGTCCTGTTTTTAGGTTTCATGACTAGCTCTGGGGAGGAAGGATTCTAGTTTCTATGACTGAGAATGGGACTGAGACAGAAGGGAAGGAAGAGGTCAGAGAAAAACTTGCTTCTGAAGCAGCTGCTGAGGCCTTCATTTTGGGGTATCGTTTTTTGAGTCCCAACAGTCCAATTAGAGACTAAGAAAGACAAAGATGAAAGCAGCAGAGAAGACAATGTGCCCATGAGAGAAGGATCACACACAGACTTTTCATGAGTACACAAAGACTGAGAGAAGACTGAGGAAGACAAAATGAAGAAGTGACTGAGAAACAATATGGAACCAGAAAAATGACATGTATGTAGAAGCATCTAGGGAGACATGAAGGAAAAGAAACCATTCAGAATGAATACTTGCTTCGGCTATTAGGACCATGAGAACTGACCCACATTTGCTACCTCCTCAGGCCACTCCACAGCAGCACATGGGACTATTCTTTCAGCCAAAGTCCAAACCTAAAAGGATTGCTGGTACAGTAACTCTTGACTCTCTCTAATTTCTTTGTTTCTGCAACTTGAGTGCTATTTAGCATGCAACTACTTATTTCAGGTGTTGATCCCTTAGAGTCAAGGCTCATGATGGACCAGGGGACTTGGAAGACTAGAGTACATGTGGCCAGAAGCTGATGTCCTATGTCTATTTAGGATAAAATTTACAAAAAAGAGCTACCGTGAATCTCTCAGAAATGAGAAGAGCTAAAAATAGCATATTTTGTTAATGTTGTCTCCTACCCTGAGAATGACTTATAATATCTGATCTCACTCTCTTGTGCCACATGCTGAGTGAGAGAGTCAAGAGTCAGCAGTAGGCAGTCAGCATTCTTTCCTGGCAGCAGTGAGATAGATGGTGGTCCAACATTGTTTTGTGCTCCTGTAATTTTGGGTGGCCATGGAGGATAGATTTCAAATGTTTCTGGAGAGGAACTAGTCATTTGGAGCTTCTGAGCATGGGATGGGGTTTTGGATAGTGACTTACGGGCCAGAGTTTGCCAGCACACATGTTCCAAAGTGGATATGATGAAATACAATGTAAAAGGATCCTTGGTTTTCACTAAGTTCCCATGCTAGGCATCACAGAGCAGACCAGATCAGCAGGAAGTCTCTCATGCCAGGTGCTACAACTTCCCACTGAATTTGGACACAGTTGTTTTCCAAGTATTAGGAGCTTTCCAGCAGTGGATCAGAAGGGACCCAGCTTCCCTGAGTTGGCAGGATAAGGAAGTCCTCCTGTGTTTTAACCCTCTAAGGAAAGTCACTTTGAAAGCACTCATCTACTACTTGTTTTGTGTCTGCTTTCCTCAGCCTTTTCCTGTCTGTAGAGCCCACCTCTGCCACTCAGCAGCTCCTAGGAACCCTCAATTCTATGATACAGAATGAAGTGTGGCCCGAATCGAGAATCTCGACAAAAACCCACTAAAGTTATTAAACTCAATATGTTGTCACTGTATCTTTTGACAGCACATATCAGGCACTTGAGAAAATGCCGGGGCATCTATTTTGTAGCCAAAAGAGGGTTTGAGAAATAGTTCCTCCAAAATGACAAAGAAATCGCCTCCATTCAAGAAGCAATACTCATTTCTAGCCTACAGCCATCCATGCGGGAGAATCAGGCTATCTAGAGACATCCTCTTCAAAAGGGCTTCGCTTGGTTACATAAAAATTAGAAACTTGATTTCCTCTAATGTAACTTCACAAAAATTATGTCCAACATAAAACAAACAGCCCAAGTGCTCTGGACATTCACTTAAGGAGAATGCCACAGTCTATGCCCACTGTGGCAAAACAGACACAGAATCTTGCTACGTTGCCTAAGTTGGCTACAAACTCCTGGGCTCAAGCAACCCTCTCACTTCAGCTTCCCAACAGTCACCATACCTGGCTGCCCTGTGTGGTATTCTAACATTCAATGTGCTTTGGGGGCCAGCTGCCATGGGAGTGGGTTTCTCCTTTGCAAGTTTCCATACAATGCAATCCAAAAAATGCAACCTTTTGGTGGTTCATGTTACGTGGCTCAAGGCCTGGAAATCAGTAGTATTTGAATAAATCTTCATGATTGATGGAACACTGAGGTAACATGTGCCTTACCTATCATCAGCATCATGCTTTGTGAGTGTTGGTGCTCAGAAAACAATAGCTCAAAATAAAGGACTCAGCAGCTGTCTCTGAAACAAAAGTTTTTCCTTGACCTCTTGCCCTTCGGCCTCTAAGTCTCAATCTCCCCCAAGGCTAGTCATAGGAACTAGAATCCTTGGATCAGACAAACCAGAACCCCTTTTCCCAAAAGTCAGTTATAAAACCTAAAAATATTCTATGTAAAAACTGGTCATAAATAAATGATGTGACCTAAGTTGACAGTGGGTCCCAGGACCCTCATTCGAGAGAGGACCCTCCCCCATACCCAGAGGAAGGAATGCAAGGAAGGAGAAGCCAAGAAGAATCTAGCCAGAGGGGCCCAGCCTAAATATGGCTGATCCTAAGTTATGCTTGTTATGCCCAGTGTGATTTCTTGTGGATCATGGGCTTAGTAGCTCCCTGCACAAGAGGAAAGCCCTTAGCTTCCCAAATGGACTCAACCCAGGTGATCCTTCAAATCCATTCAAATGCATAAAGTTCTCCTCTCGGAAACCCCAGGTGTAATTCCAGGTCACTTTCTTTTTTTTTTTTTTAAAGAGTACCTACCTTGACTGAAAACCTTCCCAGGAGCAGTCAGCATTCTCATATTTGGGTGACTGCACTTAAGCTGGGTCTGGTGTTGACCATGAGGGAAGGGTTACATGGAGCTGGCAGTGAAAGACTCTCCTATCCGTTTCTGCATTCTTTACCAACAGAAGTTAGCAATATGGCCTGATGATGTTTAGTGCAAATTAAATGCACTGGTACGCATGTCAGCATGTGCCTGTATCTGCGTATTTTTAAGATGTTTTTATTATCTCAGATATCTATATATTTTTTCTATTAAAGTAGATATACCTATATGTAAAGATTCATGTATCCAGATCTGTTTGCTTCCCTCCTACATAGCAATGTACCATTACAAAATGGCACAGTCCTAGGCTGCTATACACATCAACACTTCGATTGTTAGTCTGATTGATGTATATACACTGATGCCTCTATTTATGTTACATATTTCTTTATATATCTAGAAATATTAGTATTTTGTGTATATATTTATTTCTAAGTTAGGTCTTTTCCTAGGCCCTGTGTCTGTGATTTGCTCCTGACAATAAGTACTGTAAATAATTTTATCATTTATCAAAATAAATGAGTAAAATTTGCAAAGTGCTTAGGATAGTGCTTAGTAGCTAGTTAATTGCTATAAAAATTGTTAAATGTTTTATATTTTTCCCACAATAAACTTGTATTACCTAGATAATGAATTTGTTAAAGACTTCTGGCTCCATTAAAGTCAACGGAAAAAAAGGCTTTTTTTTTTTAACTCAAGATTTGATGGCTAATGAGGCAGGAAACTGAGCTCAAGGAAGGAGCCCGAACAACTGCTCAGTGCCTAGGGTAGGCTGACCATGGGAAAGTAAACCCACAGGCAGGGCCCAGAACCTGGTTCATGGAGGTGGTGGGAATACATCCTTATCAAACTGGGCTCCCACAAAGAGCCCAGAAACAATGACCTGATTTTCTGAGTCAAATCTTTATTTGGCAAACGAAGTTCCTTCCTGGCAATGTAGCCACATGGGAGGAGCAACCAGGTGCCCAGCACCCAACCACCCGAAGTGTCTCCAGCCAGAAAACCAACCAACCAAAGCCCTCCTCCCTCCTTTTCCGCTGCTTTAGTGTTATGAAGGAGACAGTGCGTGGCAGGCTGACCACAGGACTGCAAGGTTTCCTCGAGATGCTCTAGAGTCTGCAGAGCAGCAGCAGGGACTGATCCTGAAGGCTGGCGAACCTCATAGCCCTGGGTAGTGGGTTGTAGAGAGCTGAACAGGAAGGAGGAACCCTGAGAGCCAAGGCTTCAAGGGGTTGTGGTCCTGGATCCCAGTCCCCTGGGGCAGGCAGGAGCTCCAGTCTCAGGCCCAGCTCAGAGTCACAGGCTGGTTCCATCCCCTCCAAAGTGCAATGCCAGCCCAACTACTCACAGGAAGGAGCTGTCATCGCCCCTCAAAATGGGCTGTGATTTGTTCCAAAGTCTTCCCTTTGGTTTCAGGGACACAGAACAAAGTGAAAAGGACACTGATGATACAGAAGGCAGAGGCTAGCCAGAAAACTCCGTAGGGCCTGAGGACCTCCTGCAGAGAGGAAAGGCTACGCATGGGCATGGCAAAAGGTCAAGAGTGGTCACGAGCTGAGGCACCCCCCACCCCCACCAGGCAACACCCTGACCCCTACATGTCCTGCCCATGGCCATGCCCATTCCATCTCTACTCTGCTCTGGGAAGTGGAGGACAGTCTGGCACACAGTCCAGTTGCCTGGGCCAACCACTATCCAAGGTGCCAATGCTGTGGCCGGGGAAACGGGCTCACAGCAATGTAGAGTGACTGCTCCATGGTGAGAAGCCTGCTATCAAGTGAGTTGGCCTCCCACATCTGACTCCAGGACCACAAAAGCTTCCTCCTCCTCAACTTTGGCCCTGTCCTGAGGTCGCTGCCCCCAGTGGATTCTCTCTTCATGGAATAGTGGGAATGGGTGAGTTATCAGCAGGCTGAGACCACGTAGAGTAAGCATGGCCCCAGGAGCACATGGGGACACTTGGGGCCCGTGGGCATGAAGGAGCAATCCTCTTTTGTCAGAACCCATCTTTTCTGTCCTCCACCACTGAGACCTCCCAGCTGCCAGAACCAATGGACCCACCCTCTGCAAAGACCTTCCCTTGGCCTCTTGGACACTGTCTACCTGGGTCACTGTTAGGTCTTCTATCATCTCCCTCTTGGCTTCTTCCTTTGCTGTCCAACCCCTCCCAGGCACCAGCACGCAATTTTTACCCCCATGCCTCTGTCCTGGATCTCTGATAAGCTCCCTGAGCAGCCCTGACTGACTGGAGGCCAGACTCCGCACAGAGTCCAGGCCAGCCTTTCACTGACCTACCTCCCCATGCCCCAGCTCAGTCCTCCAGGTTCATTCTCCCACCATTGCCTTCCCAGCCCTTGTCATAAAGGGGACCCTGTCCACCTTGTTCACTGCTATCTCTGGCACCCTGAACAGGCCTGGACAGGGTACATGTTTGGAGACCTGGAGGAAACAAATGACTTGATTATATGCTCCAAAACCACCTCTCTATTGGCTTGGAAGCCCTGGGGCAGGGACCACATCTGTGTTGGTTCACCCATGAGAAGGTAGCAAAATGGTGAACTGAATTGATACTCCCATCAACCATAAGAGCAAGGTGCTTTACTCTCCTCCATTTGCAGCCAAGGAGGCTGGTTCAGAGAAGGTAAGCATTACCCCCAAGGTCACACAGCAAGGAACTGGCCAAGGTTAGACTTGCACCCAGTCCTATTGACTCTTCTCACACAGACCTTGGGCTCCAGGCCAGTGTTCCTATCATTCACTAAGGAGAGAAGCCGGCTATGCTGTCTGTCCACCAAGATGGACTAAGACTGCTGAGGAGTCACAGCCTGAGTTTCCTATCTGCCCCAGCCCATCTGCCTCCACTTCACACCGACTGAGATGGTTGATACCCCAGGCATGGTGGGGCCTCAGCCTGGACACAAGACCACTGACCCTGAGTCTCCTGCAACAAAAGCAGTTTGAGGAAGCACTTCCCTGCTGACTGCATGATGGGAAAGGCCATGGGGCCAGCACTCACCATGAGGCTGCTGAACTCTTTCGTCACCAGAAAGGCCATGAGCCAGTTAGTGAGGACGCAGATGCCTGTAGCCACGCCCTTGACATGTAGAGGGAAGATCTCCGACATGAGGAGCCAGGGGATGGGCCCCCAGCCCACAGCAAAGCCTGCAGCAGCAACACAAGCATCAGAGCCCACAGGGACCAGGCTCCTGGGCTTGCTGCAGAGCGAGGAGGCTTCCTAGCCTGTGGGGCTGATGGCTTCTGGATTCATCTGGTCTCACCAGCTCTATTCCTTCCTGCTATGAGGCCTGGGGCCAGCCTCTCCCTTCTTAGGCACGGGCTGTCTCTATAAGTCAGGGCAATAATGGGGCCTGCCCAGAGGGTTGTTGTGAAAGGAACATAGCAGGGCTTAGCGCAGCAATCTGCTACATGGTCAGAGCTATAAGCACAGAGTCGGGATCTACGGGACAGAGAGGTGAGGCTGGGCAAGACTGGGCTACCTGGGAGCCATAGGAAGCTGGCAAAGCAGGGCCAGGGCTAATGGGAAGGTGGCTTTCACCCAGCCTCCCACGGACCCCTTCTTACCAGCAATGAAGAGGCACATGCTGCCCACAGCCAACCAGGCCAGCCCCTCACTGGTATCAACGGGTTCCATGGAGACAGGTGCCAAGAGGGCCATATGTGAGGAGTTGCCAGGGCTACTCTGTGTCAGCTTGAAGTAGGCACCGAAGGCACTTGTGCTGAATACCATGATTATACCTGTAGGTGGGAGGACAGTGTTGGGCAAGGTGCTGGGGAAACAGCCCAGAGTGCAGCATGGCCACAGTGGTGTGGCCCAAATGCCTCTGAGGGCAAGCCTGGCTCACCAAGATCCCCCTACTTGGCCTTTCGGCACTTTGGCCCTGGGAGCCCTGTCTGGGCAGCAGCTACCCCATCATGGACCACAGACCTCAGCCAGCCCCAAGAAGTTCCCCGAGCAGACCCTCTGGGCCCAAGGAAGCAGGAGTAGCACCAGCCCAGCAGCAGCATTTAACCCCCAGCCCCCAAAAGTCATCTTTGCAGCAACCTGTGGGCACCAAGTAGATCATCTCACAAACCTCACAACAGTGCTGAGGGAGGTGCTGTCATGATCTCCATTTCTGGATAAGAAAACTGAGGCTCAGAGAGGTAAAGTCACTTGTCCAAAAGGACCACAAGCTTCTGTGTCACTTCACCTCCCTGGATCTAGTTTCCTCACTGTAAGCTGGGGCTGTGATGGTACCTTCTGGAAGGCGTTCACTGCAGAGGTGGAAGGCATGGCATGGCAATGCATTAGTGCAGGCGTGGAATAAGTGCTCATTGAGGAGCTGTGGTCAAATCATGGCCTTCTTAGTCCCTGATGTCTATCCTTAATGAACGTTCACCAGGTCTCCTCTTTGGCAAAGGCCCTCCAGCCCATGGTAGGGGGCCTGGCCTGGGTACCCCACCTGCACAGGGCTCAGCCCTCACCCTTGGGCCTCACCTGACAAGGCCAGGAGCAGCCTCCGCCCTGCTCTGTCCATGATGAGGGCCGCTACAGCTGTAAACAGCACCTGGATGATGCCCACGATGACCGAGGCCAGGCTGCTGTCCTGGGGAGATAGGGCCAAGGCTGGTCAGGCAGGCCAGCCAAAGAGATTAGTCACTGCTTCTCCAGTCCTTTGCTGGGTGACTACTTCCTAGGCTTGGGAAAGAAGTCCCACTCATGTGGCAGGCCAGGCAGAGGCCCCTTTACCTTGAACTTGGCCTCTTCAAAGATGGTCTCTGCATAGAACATGACAGCATTGATTCCTGACAGCTGCTGGAAGGCCATTAGTGAGATCCCAATGATGAAGGGCTTGTAGATGCTGGGGAGCCTCAGCAGGGCCAGGTGGAAGCCCTGCTCCAACAGAGACCACCATCAAGCCTCCCTCTACCCCCTCCAAGGGGCACCCACCCCTCTTAGGGTCCACTGTCCTAAGGATTAGGGAGTGAGTCTGCTTCTCATCACAGTCCCACTTGTGGTCTCAGGTGCACAGACAAGACCCTACAACCCTGTAACCTTACCTCCCTAGGGCTCATCCTGATGGGCTGGGGGAGCCACACAGAGACGACTCGGTAAAGTGCATGCTGTTCCCTGAGTCCTAGCCATCATCAACGCAGCCAGCACTTGTCTCAGGCCTGGGTCTGGCCCCTAGCTGAGTGCCCCCACAGCCCTCTTCACTGAACCCTGACCACCACCAGGAGGCATGTGTTCTGACCCCCATTTTACAGATGAAGAAATTTAGGCTCAAGGATGGAAAAGTCACACAGCAGGTAAGGGGTAGAGTGGGGGGCTCAAGTCCAGGTCTGTCTCACTCTAAAATCCAGACACTTAGCCTTCTTTCCTACCCTATAATTCCCTAGTTAACTCCAAGTCCTCAACTCTGCACCTGTGTTCTCTCTAGGCCCGGACTTCTCTTCCTAGGACAGTAGGAATCAAGGCTCAGGTTTCCCAGTGACCTTCAAGGCTAGGGCCCAGCTGGTCTCCACCTGCTTAAAGACAGAATAACCCTGGGCCCGTTCCTTGATGAAGGTGGAGGGGCACCACACTCATCCCCCACCAGTGTGTGGCATTAGGGTCAGGCTGTGCTACCGTCCCTTGGCTGCTATTCCCTCTCCCTAGCTCTGCCTCCAAGACTCTCACCTGGTGCTCAGACCCAATGGGGGGCTCTTCCCAGCCCTGCTCAGAGCCCCACAGAAACTGCAGGGCGTCCATGGCTTCCTGGTGCTTGTGCTGAGTCAACAGGAAGCGTGGGGTCTCAGGCATGCAGCACATGAGCAGCAACATGAGGGAGGGGGGCACACAGCCCAGGACGGCCAGCCAGCGCCACTCCAGCACCCAGCCTGGTTGAAGGGATGGGGAGACGTCAGAGCTGGGCTGAGCCCATCAGACCTTACCAACCCCAGGACTCAGTTTCAAAGGTGGGACCTCACTGCCTCTTCATGTTACTACTGACATTGTCACTATCATTGTTCACAAGGGTAGAGGGCATGGGCCAACCACACCAGCTGTAGAAATGGTGGGTACGTCAAGACATACATCACTACGCTGCATCTGTTCAATGAAATATTTATGTAGTCATGAAACAAAGAATGAGGTGCTGGCTATGTGTCCACATGGAATGATACAGCATCACCTATAAAAAGGCAGGGAAAAGAGAGTAAATATGCATATTCCTCACATATGCACAGACCGCACCACTACCAAGACCAGGCAGACTGGAATGCAGACAGAAACAGGGGAGGATTTTCACTAGACAGGCTCCCCCACAGCACTCCTCGAGTGTTGAATTGTTTGAATGTTTTATCTGTTCAAAGTATAAATGACATTAAAGAGGTGGCAGAACTCTTCATCTGAAAGATGGATGAAGAGCAGCATAAATGCAGAACTATCTAGCTTTATATAAAGCCAAAGAGTTCTCTAACAAAGGGGCCCTGGAATAAATGAGTTTAGGGCACAGCCTCTCTAATTTCTCCTAAGCCGAATGGCTTACCCCCCCCAATGGAAAAATACCTCTGTGACAGCCACGAAGTACCTGTTTTTCTCCCATGCTGGGGGGTGCAGATAAATCATAATGGCTCCATAGAGTCTAGTTGTTGGAGTATTGCCCCAGTGTGAAGCAAACAAGTCACCACCATGTCACTTTGTGGACTGAACAGTTAACCCACACCAGTGGATCAAAACTCACAGAAATTGATCATTGAAAGGCAGGAGAAGCAACAAGTGCACATGAAGATGAGCTGAAGGCAATGCTGTGGGTAGATCAACACCCAACCCTGTCCCCCAAACTATGAAGGTCAACATCTGTGCTTTGTTTCACTGCAGGGCTCCCAAGACAACCACACTGCTGACAGGATTCCAGGTTAGTCAGGATGGTAAGTGGGAAGAAAGGAAAGACCAAGGACCTGTGTATTGTCCACTCTGAAGATGCAGGTGTATGTGCCCTGGGCCAGGCCATAGGCTGTCAGGCCCTAAGCCCCCCACTCCAATCCCCCCTGTTCTCAAGCCATCACTTGACAATTATCATTTGGGACCTGCTGCCAGGCACTTTTCATGTGTCACTTAATTTACTCCTGCTACTGCCTTGAACTAGGTGTCTCCCATTTAAAGACAGAGAAACAGCCTGGGTGCAATGGCTCACGCCTGGAATCCCAGCACTTTGGGAGGCTGAGGTGGAGGATTGCTTGAGCCTCGAAGTTCAAGACCAGCCTGGGCAACATATTGAGAACTCATCTTTACAAAAAATAAAATTAGTTGGGCATGGTGGTGCACACCTATAGTCCCAGTTACTTGGGAGGCTGAGGTGGAAGGATTTCCTGAACCCAGAAGGTTAAGGCTGCAGTGAACTATGATCATGCCACCACTGCACTCCAGCCTGAGTGACAGAGTGAGACTCTGACTCAAATAAAAATAAAGATAGAGAAACAGAGGCCTCCAGGGATGGTGTGACTTGAAAAAGGTCACACAGCAAGTAGCAGAAGCCATCCCCAAACCCTGGACTGTCAAACATGAAGCCTGCTCTCTTTCTAATGAGAACACATCTGCCTCCAGAAACTTCCTCCATGCTGGCCCAACTCTGCCCCCAGGGGTCCCTAGGAACCATCCCTTTACACTGCAACTCACTGACATGGTAAATCCAGCACTGATATTCTGAGGGAGATTCACCCCTTTAAGCTCCTGGGCTGAAGACTTGCAGTGCCCTATGATCCCTGGAATCCTCTGGCTTGTCACTACACAATAAGGTACTCACCTAACCGGTCAGCCTTGCCCTCACCCCTGGAGTGGGCTTCTGGGAAGATGAGGACATCACCTTCTCCAGTTCTCCCTGGATCTTAGCCACAGAACCACCTATCTCAAGGTCCCAGGGAGATAGTCTGGAGCCTGGTAATTTGGGCACTGGCTGTGTGACAGGCAAGTCCTCTCACCTCTCTGAACCTCAGTTCATACGTTCATAAAACGGCCACACGGTCATGAGCAGGAATCAAGAGACAATGACAACTATACCTGCCAGGTAGGCCAGGAGGATGCCGACAACAACCATTAGCTGCACACAGGAGCCCAGGAGCCCCCGGACTGCTGGGTAGGCAACTTCAGAGATATAGACCTGCCGGCAACAAGATGAGCCTTTACTTGGGGTCCCAGAGTTCTTAAACTGAAAAAGCTTAGCCATCCAGAACTAAGGAAGCCCTGACTGGGGCTACTGCAAGCTGATGCCCCCAATCCGACCACCCCAGGTCAGCATAGCCCTCCCCAGGTCCCCCACCCACACCCCCACCACCAAATGGTCTGTGGCAGCTGCTTAAACAGGCTTGAGGATAACAGGTGGCTGCTGTGTGTGTATGTGAGGGCAACAGGAGGACACAGAGCTTCCCAAACTCTCATTTAATGTGCACAAACACCTTTGATAAAATGCAGATTATGATTCAGTAGGTCTGGGGAGAGGGGCCAAGATTCTGCCTTGCTAACCAGCTCCAGGTGACTGATGCCCAGGTCACTGGCCCAGGGACCACACTTTGAGTGGTGCCCTTGGAGTAGAAGTAGAAACTCTCCACCTCAATGGCTACCAGTGGCTGCCACAGCTTCTTTCTTCTGCGCTAGGTGCTGCTTGGCCCTTCCTCATGCTTCGAAGTTATCCCATATCTTATGCCCAAGATGAAGACAGGTGGGTTTTTGCCCAGTAAAACAACCTAAAACATAAGATCCCCAGCTTCTTCCCACCCCGTCTTGACCCAGCTGCTGCCTGGTGCTCAGCAAGTGCACGCGAAATGAGGGGGAAGTACAAAGGGATGGGGGGTTGGTGCTGAGCCACTGCTTTCAACCCCCACCAGGGTGGGGTGTGGGTGGCTGGTCGTCCACGCCCATGGCCCCCAACAGTTCATTGGTCACCCAGCAGTCTCAGCAGCAAGGGTCCAAGTCCTTCCACAAGCCATGGCAGGGGCTGCATGTGCAAAGCCTCACTAAATCCTCACCTCACCAGCACCCCATGAGGTGATGCCATAATCCCTGCTTCACAGGGAAGGAAACAGGCCCAGAGAGGCACTCTGCTCAGGTAAGTGGCAGAGCTGGGATCTGATCTAGGTGTGTGGGGCTTCCAAGTGAGCAGCGCTGGGTCAGGAGAGGGTGAGGGAAGCTGGGAAGAGGTGGAGGCAGGCTTGTGCATAGTGAAGGGAAAGGCAAAGGCTAGCAGCCTTCGCCCCAAGGACAATCAGAACAGGATTTTCCTAACCGTACTCAGGGATTGGAGACAGAGGGTTGGGGCATTAAAGCCACAACGTGAGGCTCCTGTTGACCACCTGCAGGTGCCATCTGGTTTGTAGAGCAAGAGAGGCACAGCCAAGCGTGACAATCCCGAGGTCAAGCCCCGCGTCAGGGCCCGCCAGGGGCGCTGACTAGTTATGGACTCTACCTGGGTAAAGAACTTCACGTTTCTGAGGCTCAGTGTCATCCATAAAACGGAGACGATAAGGCAGCAGCTCCTTCCAAGAGCCGAGCGAGGGTCAGGGAGACAAGGCAAGAACGGGCAGGGCGCCTGGGCCCCGGGGGGCTCCGCTCTCGGGTGCGGGGAGCGGTTTGTCGCCTTCCTCCGCGGGCTCAGGCCGCGAGACGGGGAAACTCACCGGGGCTGCTAGCGAGGCAACGCCGCAGGCCAGGCCGGTGAGCAGGCGGCCCCCGAGCAGCATCCACAGGTCCTGGGCCGCAGTGATGACGGCAAAGCCGGTCACGAAGGGCACGGTGCAGAGCAGGAGGCTCAGTTTGCGCCCGGCGCGGTCCACTAGCCAGCCCCCCAGCACGCCCCCCGCCGCGGCGCCCAGGGTCACGATGGCCTAGGGGCAGGGCGACCGCGGATGAGCAGGGCCCGCCAGGCGGCGCCGTCCGTCCGCGCCCTCCACCCACCTCCGCATCGCAAGGAAAGGGTGGGGTCCTGGGCTGGAGTCAGGAGGGGGCGGTCCTGGGCAGGGCAGCCGGGACCCACACGGCCGAGGGCCTCGGCTCCTGCCCCGAGGGGTGCGAGGCGGAGGGCCTTGGCGCCCGTCGAGTGGGAGGGCGCGGGGGTCCCAGGCCGGGCGGGG